TTTGGAATTTCTTTGATGCCTGGCACCAAGGTGCCTACTTTTGCACCGTCATTTTCTTCTTTCTTGAGATGTGTTAATGGATTCCTTAATCTTCGCCCTCACCTTTTTATTTATTTATTGTTTCCTTCTTTTGACCCTATTTTCAAACTCGAGCTATTCGGATGTGAAAGCCATTTTTATGGCCATACTGGTGTGAAAGCCATTTTCAGGCCATACTGGTGTGAAAGCCATTTTAAAGCCAATACTAATGTGGAAAAAATGTGGAAGCCATTTTAGACTTTCTTGATAAATAAGAATAAAAAAAATAGGAAAAAAAGGATAATATGTGTAATTGAAAAGCCTGCTGAATGGAAACCACTTTAAACAAATCTGATTCTAAATTCAAGAATCAACCAGAAAGTGTCTTCCTGGACATCATGTTGCAAACTAGAAATAGGTTGCAGTATGCAACGCTCCCAATTTCTAAAACGTCAAGTCAGCCTATTACCAAACGCTGCAATAAGTAGATCACAACCAGAACAGAATCTTTCATGCTAAAAAACTAGTAACAAAAATGGAAATTTGTTTTACANTGAAAGGAGAATTCAGATCAAAATTAAACTTTTGTCTCATTGCATTTAAATATTCAATACTTAATCAAGGGCAAAACCCACTAGGCTTCTCTTCGCACGAAGTACAGCTTTCCCATAACATGGAGAATGGCAACAAACGCAATGAAACCAATGCTCATGACGAGTACAACGTTGGGGGATATCTTGAGGCCAGGAGCATCATCCGTGTAAAATTGCAGCATTGTTCCAGCTGCCCCTCCAGATGTACCTGAACTTGTCGTCCTTCTCCTGCGCATGCTGGCAGTAGCTGCCGCACTTCCTCTCTGGGGAGCTCCTCCACCCAGTGCCATTCTGTATTGACAAGGAGTAAACAATGTTGGAACTCCCAAGATGACTATTGATTAAATGACAACGATTAATAAATCTGATCGGATCCTCTATTTAACATTTCTCAATCAAATAAGAACAA